GGCCTACAGTAATTGTAATTTAGTAGTGGTTGGCATTGCTTTTATACAAACATACATACATACATACATACGTATGTAATTTATACAAATAGTGAAATGAACGAATAATGAAATGGCGGAATAAATGAATAAATAAGCGGCGAGCGCCTGTGCACACTTTTAAACGATTTTGATTTATTTAGACATTTTTGTCATTTATAATTCATTTTAATTCTGTTTTAACCGCTCGACAGCAGAAAAGGTGGAGCTTTCCTTTAATTTGTATTTTCGTGCCATTTTTCATTTTTAATTGTATATACTCATTCATAAGTATGTATGTATGTATGTGTATATTAATTTTAAACGCCATATTTAGTTCGTTAGTCAAATCGTATCGCTTGACACATTCCATAGAAATGAAAAATGTATATGTACATACAAATATGTAATATATATATGCAGACATCGAAGTAATAACTCGATTTGACCTCCCTGTAGCAAAGTTGTACTAAGCTTTGCCAAGTCAGTCTCCTCACTGTGGAGCTGTCTTTGTCGCCATAATAATAACAGTTCTTAAAAAAAACCGAATGCGCGCCTACCGAACGTCTTCTAAGATGATCCATAATCGTTGTATTGCCTTTCTATTTTACGTGGTAGTTATATTGTTTTTAAATATTGAGACACTGAAGTTTTGAGTTAAGATCTATGACAAAGTAAAATGGCTGAAAAGTGCAAGTCCCATCAAAGGGTTCGGTGCTGCCTATGCGTTGCGGCACTAGCCGAGTGGTTAGTATTGCGTATTGCCATTCCGAAGGTCAGAGCTCGAGCCTTAGTTGGGCTCTCTGGGTGTATTTTTGACAAGAGTTAAAAGCTTCTCACAAAAGCATACCACAAATTGTAGGTTGCCTAACAGATTATCTCCGACGGGTGGTGAGCATTGCGTACTGCCATTCGAAGGCTCTGCTGCAAGACAACTTTCAGTTATGGAGAAGTTGTGCATTTTAAAGTAATCGCGTCTTAGCTGAACCAGTTGTTATCGAAATTAAAGCTCTTTCGATTTTAATACCTGTCTGAAGCACATCCCAACCAGTATATAGCAAAATATTTAGCTTGGTTTTTATGAATTGTGAAGTTTTTAACATAAATTCTCCCCTAATATAGAATTTAAGGCAATTCTTTTTTTATTTGTTATTTTTTATTTTTTTCTTATATGAGGTAGATGCAAAGCAAACAAACCTCTGCTCTTGAAGCACCAGACCGCTTCATGAAAGTTGATGTTTCCTTACCTTGAACCAAAAGAGTTTTTCAAATCCCAGAATCGTTTATCTACACAATTCGTTCGTTATTGTTGAGCTCCAAAAATATTAAACCTCATACGTGTAGGTACGAATATACGAGATGATTAACAAAAGTTATCTCCTCGTCGCTGTTATTAAGACCTTTACTTTTAATTTTTTTTCAGTTTTTGGAAATAAACATAAATCATAATTTGCTATATTTGGGGAATATGGCGCTGGACGTATTTCTTCGATCCCAGAGATCGTAATAAAATTACTCGTTACGCTACTTCAGCAGTATGAGATGTTACGTTGTGATGATGCATAAAGTAGCTCCGCAAATCCTCTCTCTTTTTGTTCTTCAACAAATTTTTGAAACCTTCGGATACCGTCTGACCCTTTTCTAGTGGAATAGAGCTACGATATTAGATCAGGTAAAGTAAATTTTTTTTGTTAGATTTTATGGGTGGGCTTCATACCATGGACTGCTGTTTTTTTTTTCTGGATTTTACTTATAGAATCAAGATTCGTCACCATTAATGACTTTACCTAACCATTTTCGAATTTGTTTAGGAAAAATGGAGAAAAAGGCACTAAAGCCTCATTTAAAAAGCGTGGTACCCATCGAACAGATATCTTCGTGTATTCCAGATGATTACTTAATATTCACGGTACAGCCATGGCATTAACAATCATTTCTTGTATCAGTCGTGGGTCTTCGTAAATTTTGGACTTCACTAGAGTTACAGTGACGTTCACAGTGAAAGATCTTGGTCCACCTTCTCGGGGCTGGTCCTCTACGGAAAAATTTTTGGTCTGGAATCTTCAGAAACACTTGTAAATAACTTTTGAAGACGACATTCACTGAATATTTGTATTGGCTGCAAATTACGCCGAAACCCGAAAATAATCACATGTCGAATTTCTGTTTGCGTTGATGGCGGAATCTCGTCTGACCTATCCTCAGCTATCTTGTGTTTTCTCGTCTCCGTCTGAGCAGATCGTTCTAAAATTCGAAAGGAAGACTAATAAAGTGATTCTAAAGAATTTGGTAACCAACTGACCGAACTTTTGTTAATTCTCTCGTATCAAGAATAATGACCCAAAATCACGTATGCCATCAAATCAGTTGTACAAAAGCCTATATGTTATCTTATACAAAGACATAATGAAATCTAAAATTATTTTCAAAAGACAGGGAGCAAAAATTAAATGAAATTTCAAATGAAATAAAGGGACTAGAAAATTAGCATGTTTTTGTTTTAAAAATGAAAATTTCACCCAGCATTTCCTTATAACTTGCAATAATTAATAAGTTTCAGACGACAAAGAGAAAGTGTGTTCGATCAGATTCTTTCCTATTAGAGTATATTTGACATCTGGAATTCCAAATTATGGATGTTTTCAAAAACTCTTTTATTGAATTTCTTGAATTCCTTTGACCACCGTTTAACAAATGCTAATATACATGCAAATGGGTCTGAAGATTTGTTGGCAGCCACACTAAATTCACCCTAAATTTATGGACTGATACCCAGAAAAATAAAACAAACGTTCCGAATCAAAGTTACGCATTTATTGTATAAGTAATTGTAACAATATGACTTTTTTGAGCTAAATGATCAGATGTTTATTTCAATGTAAAGAGGAGATATGCCATTCATAATGGAAACCAATATCAGCCAAATGGCCGCCATGGCTGAGCTTACAAAACCGTATACTTTTTATGAAATTTTCCATCGTTAAATCGCAAAGTGGCTTCTCTATGGCCTCAATAGCTACACGAATTCCTTATTTGAGGTCTTGAATCAACGTTGGCCTGTTGGCGCAAACCTCATCTTTCACGTGTCTCTAAGGGAAGAAGACGCAAATTTTTAAATCACTAGATCTCGTTGGCCAATTGCGATCAGCTCTTCGAGAGATAAGACGGTTAGCTAACTTTTTCCTTCAAAGATCGATGATTTCGTGTTGCTTGTGTGATACGAAGCGTCGCCTTCGTAAACGATGTTCAGATCAATAGCAGCCATATATATATATATATATAATTGGCGCTTTGTAACCTCCATTTTTTCACCAGTTTCCGTATTGCGGTCCGACAAGCTGCTTTACGACGACCGAAAAAGGTTTTAGTTTTATGAACCGTCTCTGCCAGGTTTTCATACTTTTCATAGTGAATTTTAATAATTTAAATGCATTGTTGAACGGTCCATCCTTCCATTTTTATTACTGGCGTTGTTTTTGCTTCTCAATTGTCAAAAAATTATAGTTTCAAAAGTGATATCTACCGGAATAGCAGGTTTTTCACCGCTCTATATGGAAAATCTTTGACCAATGGGTTTGGATATAGAATATTTTTCCTATCGTAGCATATTTGCTTTTGCATCCACATTTCCAAATTATTTGTGAGTCATTACAAAAACTTGTACAAATTTTCTAATTTTTCGCTTGTTTTTTTTTTTTTTTTTTTTTAATTTTGTATTAAATTTTGTTTCCAGATTTTTTCAGGAGCAATTCGCCTAATGAGAAGTATTGCAGAGTACAGATACAAATGCTCCACAGCTGCGCTCATCTCAATCGGACTTTAAATTATTACAAAAAAGATCTAAATATTTCACAGTTTAATTTTAATTAAATTCTAAAATTCACGGGCACATTATATTTATTAAATAATTAATAAAAAATATTTTGCCTTTAAGCACTTAAATGGCATATATCGTTAATTAATTTTCTTTTAGTAATAATAATAAGATATGTATATATGTATTTAATTATACATATGTATAGGCACATATAAACATGTGCATATTTCATAGTTAATCGTGGGAAAGCAATTATTGCAGAATCCATTTATCAAACACATTGCATTAATAAACTTGCTGAGCTCTCAAACCAATGAACTTCGGCTCAAAACCAAAAGCCGCAATTTCGGCGCCAATATGAAATATATATGTATGTATATATATACTATACTCTTACCAAAAGACCAAAACAAGTGTCAGGATTTACGATACTTCGTTATGCATTCAACGCAAGTGTTGCAAAGCAAAAAGTCAAGATCGAATATCCTCTTTTTCCTTTTTTGAATATTTTTTTTTTTTTTTTTTTTTGACTTTAACGCTATTCGGGTCCTTAATTACTTCCTTCTCTTGTATGCTTCAATAGTATGTTGTTATTGTTGTTGTTGGTTTTTAAACAACTAACAACGACGGCGATTTGAAATAGGATAAATCAAAATTTCGGCGTAGATTGAAGTATGAATGGATAATTGGTTGGGCAGATGCATGATGAGGAGCAGCTACTGCGTCGGTGCGTGTGTTGTATGTATGTATTGTTGTTGTTATGTTTTGGGAAGGGAAATTGTGTTGGCTGTTGTTATTGTAGCAGTCAAATTAGATTTTGTGCGCAAATCTAAATTTGGTTTTATTTTCTACTTTTTTTCTTACCAAAAAACACTGTGTGGGATCATCGTTTGGCGTAGTTTATTCCAAATTTCTTGTTCCTCTTTATTGAACACAACCAATTTGTTTTTAGATTAGTTCGGAATTGACTTTTATTTCCTGGAATATTCTCACGATTTCCATGTAAATGTGATTACCTTGCTTTTGATTATGTTCGCCATGAAACGGTACTATGAGCGCACGGAGGTTTAGTTGCCAAAAATTTTAATTTATTTTTCAATAAATCCGAAAATAATTTTTTTATATGCATGTGTATATGTATTAATATAAGTTTCGCTCTTTTCAGGATCATCCCAGCCTTCGTGGTACACCGCTTGCGATGTTGGCTGCACAATGCAACAAATTGTCGAGTAAATCGCCTCCCCCACTTGCTGACGCTGCCGTGGGCAAAGGTTTTCATCCGTGGAAAAAGAGCCCCACATCACCGACAAGTAGTGGCGGTGTTGCAGGTGGTCAACATTCACCCTGCACAATTTCTTCCGCTTCGTCGTCCTCAGGCTCTGGTTCGTCGAGTGGCAGTTTGTGCCTAAGTGGCACTTCATCAGCTGCCTCCTCACGAAGTCTGCCCTCATCTGGCATCAACACAATGGTTAACATCACCGCTAGGTAAGCATTTATTACTGCTTTCATTTCCTTCACATTACAGTTCCTCTTTGCCACTCACCTTCTCTGCTAAGTCTCTTTTTGAGTATTTTGACTTATGACTGATAATAATTTCAGCATTTATCCTTACAGTCGTCCAATTTCCTCGTCCTGTGCGGCCGTCAGTAATCCCTCAGCTTATGGTAGCGATCTTTACTTTCCGAATACTAGCGGCGCAAGCGGTGGCATGGTTTCCGACAATCATCACATGCATCAGGGTCTATTGGGCAAAGTGGAGGGAGCTACATTCGGCTCGGTTTACTCGCGTCATCCCTATGATTGGCCTTTCAATGCTGTCACTGCATCCGCGCACAAAGCGGCCGAGGCAGCAAGCGTTAATTCCGGTTGGTGGGATATGCATAGTGCCGCTGGCAGTTGGTTAGATATGGGTGGTGCTGGTATGCATTCCACCATGGCCAATTATGCTACCGCCGCCGGTTCTGACTACTCGTCTGCGCTGTCACATTCGCTATCCAACACAGCTCATCTACTGGGTTCCGGTCAACATTTACTGCAGGACACATACAAGAGCATGTTGCCTGGACAAGGCGTAGGTGGTTTCTCACTGCCACACAGCTCACCTTCGGCTGCTGCCACTGCCGCATCGCCACAAGCATCTACGCCGTCAACGCCATCACCACGTTCACAACGACGTTATGCCGGTCGCGCCACATGCGATTGCCCTAACTGTCAGGAAGCTGAGCGCCTTGGTCCGGCTGGTGTGCATTTGCGCAAGAAGAATATACATTCATGTCATATACCGGGATGTGGCAAGGTTTATGGTAAGACGTCACATTTGAAGGCACATCTGCGTTGGCACACCGGCGAACGTCCATTTGTCTGCAATTGGCTCTTCTGTGGCAAACGTTTTACTCGATCCGACGAACTCCAACGTCATTTACGTACACATACAGGTGAAAAACGCTTCGCCTGTCCCATATGTAACAAACGGTTTATGCGCAGCGATCATTTAGCTAAACACGTGAAGACACACAATGCCGTCGGTCAAGGCGGCAGCATGAAGAAGGGCTCATCGGAGTCATGTAGCGATTCCGAAGAGCCCGGCAATCAGTCGGGTGAATCTAATGGCCTCACAAGTGGCAATGGACAGCAGAGCGGTGGCGGTAGTCATCCTGGCACGCCCAATTCCCATCAATCTGGCGGTGGAGGAAATACAACACCTACTGGTGGACTTTTGTCCGGCGGCTTGCATCTAACAGCGCCACACAACATGTCCGGTGGATCACCGGTTATGTTGCATGCTCAACAACAACATCATCAACAACAACAGCAGCACCAACAAGCCCAAGCACAAGCACAAGCACAGGCACAAGCACAAGCGCAAGCGCAGTTGCAACATCATCAACAACAGCAACAACAGGCACATGCTCATGCACACCTACATCACCATCATCATCATCATCTAGTTGGCAGCTCAGCGCCCAGTCCGGGCTTGGATCATCACAGCACGTTGGTGGATATTAAACCACCGATGGTTTGAGGGTCGTTGGGACCCTTTCTATTCACCAATTGAGGTGAACCGGAGAACGGGTCCTACCTACGGCGTACAACTTTGGCAGTTGACAAAAGAAGAGACGAAACGAACGTTGGTTGAAGAAAAGCTGCGAAGCAAGTGAATAAGGCGGCTGGGTGGGGGTACAAAATAAATGGAAATCTACATAATTGTAAATAATAAAGCTTGTAACAATGTGTTGTTGTAAATTTAAAACAATCATTAATGCTAAACAAATGTATAACAAATAACAAGAAAATCACACAAAAACAAAAATGCTAATTCTACAGAAAATGTCTTGTAAATATGATGTTTAGAAGCAGCAAAAATGTGTTGTTGTAATGCTTAAGAATGCTAATTGTTTAAATATTTAAAACAAAGTTTAAGAAAAATTATTTCAAATGGAAAAAATTCAAAAAATAAAAAACAAAAATCTTTTCCTCTAATATTAACTATACTTAACACTTTGGCAGTTATACACACATACATATATATCACTCTAGCCTCTGGTAACGAATAGAAACAAAAATATTTCTAGTCCAATTGAAAAAATAAAATTATATTAATTAATAAATCATTTAAGTGATATAACAAATCAGCTGAAATGTGCTTGTGAAAATGCTAAGCCTCTAACCCTAAAGCCTTTGAGTCACCGCTATGGTTTAGTATGTGCTTCTTCTTTTTGTATCAAATAATAACTATCGTTTAAGTAATCCTAAATAAATTAATGATTTAGTAGAGAATTCTCATTCTAAATGTGTACTTTGTTTCCAAAAACACTAAAGTCCCTAACACAAATTATGTATAAAAAATAAAAAGTTAAACATACACTACACACACACACATACTTATACACATAATTATACACAAATGAATATAAAATATATTTAGTATATAGCTAGTTTCTGAATAAAACTAAAAACTACAAAATTTATTAACATTGTTGATTTTTAGCTAAAAAAAAAAGTAAAAAAGAAAAATATAAAAACGGCTTTGAAAACAAAAAAGTAAATTTCTTGAACGAGCGCTGCAGCAGTTAAATAAATATTAAGCTTAATAAATATATTTTTTTCTGAAATCACAGCATTCTAAATGAAAAGAAGAAAGTAAACTCTATGCAAATGTATATTAAAAAGATTAAATATCCAGTCAAAATATGCATGTTTGTAATGTTGAAGGCATTAGGCAATGGTAAAATTTGAAAAATTCTCTTCAAAACTAATCTAACAGCAATTATACTTTTTTTGTGACGTTAGCCTGATAAGTGTACTGCTAGAGCTTTTGAGCTATCATAAAATCAGTTTTTTTGTTTAACTAAATGGATTTTATTTCGATGTTTTCAAGTCGTTGCCCAATGCCTTTAATATTAAGAAATATTGCTGACATATTTGTAAATTATTTTTAAATATTGCAAATAAATATTATGATTATTATAAATAAATGTGTGCATCAACATTTTAATTAAGTGTTCTTTCGTACTTTATTTGGAATTTGGAGATTGTCCGCAACTTCGTCCGCATGGAATTTTGTGGTGGTTCTAATAATATTTTTATGAGTTTTTGACGTTGTTTCCTTTATTATAACTTATGAGAAGCAACTATGTTAAAATAAATGTAAAAGAAAGAAAAGCTCTACATTTATAAGTCCAAACAAAGAGCTACCTTTGTTCCAACACGTACTATGAATACGATTTTTCCGAACAGATCTTCATATATTACCTTGGCAAAGAGCCACCTACATAACTACCATACAAATATATTACGTAAAACCGTACCATCGAATGGGCTCTAGTAGCACTTCCCGGAAGAAAAATTATTCTACATGCCAATTCAGGCAAAGAGTTATCTGTTTACCGAATATCATGTAAATTAAGCGATTTAATAGTAAATTATATTTTTCCAAAAAGATCGATTTATGATCCCCTTCCCAATGGTAATTTGAGCTCAAAGCTAGAACTGTATCAAATGTTATTTATATCAAATGATAAAAGAAAAAATAAATTTTTTGAATAGCTCGGTCCGAGAAGCAGTTCCCGCAGAAAAAATAATACCCCAGGCAACTCAGGCAAATTGTTATCTCTGTACCAAACCTCACGCATATCAAACGATTTAAAAATGAACTGGCTCATTTCAGATAGATCTCCATTTCACGGAAAATCTTTTCTTATCGGGTGCATACGAAGTGTGACAATTAATGAGACTAATTCCATAAAAGCCGTATATTTCAAATATATTCTACAATTCTGCCATCCCCTTCAAAGTAGTCCCCTTGGGCAGCTATACAACTATTCCATGCTTCGTAACATTTCTCGAATGCTTCGACTTGGATGTCTGCGAGTACCCTCGTCAGGGCCGTATGTCCTCAGTCGACTCAAAATTGGTTCCTTTGGCCACGGATTTTGTTCTAGGGAACAAAAAAAGTCACAGGATAACCTATCGGACGAATAAGGCGGTTGTTGCAACACGCTGATCCCTTTAGAGGCCAAATACTGATAAAGGATCCAGTTACGAGCGATGGCTGGGCACACCCTGTTGACTCGTTTTCGCTATCTTTCGAGTACTTGACGATAGCAGACTTGATTAACAGTGGGTGGGCGATTTCACGACTATCAAAAAAGGCAATTATCATCGTTTTCACCTTCGATATGCTCATGCGAGCTTGCGGAGACAACCATTGTGAGCTTTGGCGTTTGGTTTCCGAGTCGTATTGAAAATATCAGCTATTTACAATTTAACGTACGTTACCGAAGATGTTTCGCCCGATTTGGCGCAAAATTTTATCGTAATGCGTTGCTCTTGATTTCGTTTTTCCATTTTCATGACGAGCATCTCGAACACAAAATTGCTCAACATGACATAGCAACCGAATTAAAAAAACTATGCTAATCTAAAGGGAAAGGTTCGAGCCGTAGCTCGACAAAATAGCTCGGGCAAAGGTTTTATCGCTCATTATTTTCCTCAGCTGAGGAAATATCGGCTCCAAAGACCTAAGACAAAGATTGAACTCCAAAGTGTGACGAGGTCATCTTCCCGACTTTGTCTGAGCTAGGATATATGTATGTATATTATATAATATTATATTATTAAATTAGTACTTTAAGAGATATTTAAGGTTAAAGGTTAACAAGGTAAAACAAAAAAATAACTTTTCTTTTGAGCGAATTTAGGAATTTCTGCCACTAAAATGCATATCGATTTTCAAAACATATGCTTCAAGGAAGTGGAAAAACCCAGGTACTGTTTTCTATTTAAATCAGCGAATTTCTTTCAAAATAATGATTTAAGCAAAAATGTGATTTCTATAACAGAATCGCAGTTGAAAAATAAAAGTCTTTTCTTAGTCTAGGAAATGCATACTAAACAGTTTTCTTATGAAATTTTTTTAGAGAACGAGCGTAACCTCGTTGCCAAATATGGCAAAGTCAATTCAAACAACAACAACGATTTGACACAGTGTTACAGTGATTTTCGTTCATTTTGTCATTAATTTTGAATATTTAATGAGCGAATCGACCTAACGAGGCCAGGGTTTGGTGATGAGAAGGGTCCGTAATCACTCCCCTTTACGTTTAACTAAAACAGTCGGATATCTGATACGAAGTTAGAAGCTCTTCGCTTAATCAGCTTGCAGTGAATTATTCTTCATTATTACAGTCCATCATAACATCATCAACATCCAAATGTTATAGAAAATTAATTTAAATAAAAAATTAAATTATATTTTCTAACTGTGGTCGCCCCTCGGCAGGGAATGTCAACCCCTCCGAGTGTATTTTTGACATGAAATAAAGCTCCTCATAAGAAAACCATCAGCCTTTCGGAGGCGGCTTAGTATAAACTGTAGGTCACTCCACGTGTTGCATAAACAACAAGACGCAAAACCACAAATTGGAGGAGGACCTCGCTCGAAAATAGCTTTAGCTTTATATATATATAATTTTGGCACTTTTTAACCGCTATATATGTGAATGTGGCGAGCAACTTGTGAGATATACTTCTTCTTTCTTTTACTGCCGCAGATACAACGGTGAGTTATTTATTCCTTCTTTGGCGATAATTGGAAATGCCAAGTGTAACCAGATTCTTTCAGATATGATCCATCGGAGAGAAAATATTTCTCTCCCTCCACCGGCGATTACTGTATCGAAAACTATTAAAGCTGGGTTTCTGCCGTTCGGACAAAATGATCCAGCCAGCGTATCCACTGTTTCTTGATTCGCATAACTATGTCGATTTCGTCGTACAGCTCATCGTTCCATCAACTGCAATACTCGCCGCTCCCGTTGAGTGAAGAACCATAAATCTCACGTAAAACTTTTCACTCCAAAGCTCTTAATGTCAACTCCATGCTTTCGCACCATATGGAAGGACAGGAATGATGAGTGACTTGTGGAGTGTAGTCTGCGTTCATCGAGTGTAGACTTTACTTTTAAATTGCGTGCACATTCCAGAAGTGATTAGACGTTGGATTCAAGGCTGTTGGTGTTAAACTTGGTTCTAAGATAGGCTACGTCTATCAACAGTGACGTGGGAGCCGAGTCGTGAATGCGTTGTCTGCTTGTTTGATAACTGGAGATATTTCGTCTTACCGCTTCGTTTACTACCAGATTCAGAAATCACTACGCAATTGTTGTGTTGTTGACGCTAAAGATATCAAAATCATTGTCATACGTCAGCAGTTGTACACCTTTATAGAAGATTGTACCGTCTGCATGCAGCTTTACAGCTCATTTTATTTTACAGCATTTGGTTGAAGAAACCAGAAGGTAAAAGAATCACTCTAAATAACATCTGGTCCAGCGTCGAATGGATCAGAAAGGTCGTCTCTAACTTTGGCTTTTGCTACAGGTAAATAACTCTGGCAGGGATACTAAAATTCAGACAATTTTACCGTTAGTCTGTTTCAGAGCTCCGCACAGGATGGTATACGTTGAATCGACAAGGTCTGAAGCTACACTGATAAGATCCGATCAGTTCTTTGACGGTGGGCTTTACTCTTTCACATAGTATGCTTTTTTGAAAATATTGGTTTGGCACACAATGTGCTGTCTACTTTTTGTGGATTGAATAGAGAACAATTACGTTTTCAAGTGGGCAATAAAACATTTGTTCCATTGAAATATATGACAGGGTAATCGGCTGAACGACGAGCTGTAAGAAATAAAGTGCGACATTGACATAAAGCAATCGGATTATTGTTATACCGCTGTGAAGCTCCTGTCTTCAGCTTCTCAAATGAACGAGCCATTTCGAAAAACAGAGAGAGAGAGACAGTCGAAAATGTATTTCCCGAGGAATTTCTGTTGCGCAGATGTCAAGACTCGACAATGACAGCGGTAGTGTTTAATAAACTCTTTCTTTTCTTCGTCCATTCTTTTCCAGTGAGGCCCCATTAAATAATGACCTGTAATTATCCCTGCCATTATATTAATTGATAAACGAGCCGTGTGATCTCATTCAGCCGACTTAGTCCGCTTCTTTGGCAAAGGCCAATTTTAGCATATACTTTGTCAAGGACAGAGGTAAGTCTGCATCGTGTGCGTGTATGATTATGGATAGAAGAGTTCTTTCGCTCGGTAGTTCGTCTGCCATGCAACTGATTGGGATGTCACTGTGCCCGGGTATCCAGTATTCAGGCACTGACAGTGCTGCATTTAGTCGAGAGTTGACTAAACGTTAACATTGGCATAGTTCAATCAAACAAGAGGCAGCAGAATCGTTGAGAACATTCCAGCTTTGAAAACTTTGTAGGTAGTACCTCTCAGAGGAAAAAAGAGATGAAGTGAAGAAGAACGTGGAATATTTAGTTCAATCCATTGTAAAATATGCATTTCAAAAAAAATTATATCAATTAACTT